CAACATGGAAAAAGATACTAAGGAATTTGTCAAAAAATGTGATAAATGTCAATGATTTGCACCGATGATCCATCATCCCGGAGAACAACTCCATTTAGTCTTATCCCCGTGGCCTTTCATGAAATGGCGAATGGATATAGTTGGCCCCCTACCAACGGCCCCAGGTAAAGCTAAATTCATTTTGTTTATCACTGATTACTTTTCTAAGTGGGTGGAAACACAGGCCTTCGAGAAGGTCTGAGAAAAAGAAGTTATTGACTTTATCTGGGAACACATCATATGTCGATTCGGGATACCCACTGAGATTGTATGTGGCAATGGAAAGCATTTCATTGGCGGCAAGGTAACGGAGTTCCTCGAAGCACATAAAATAAAGAGGATTTTATCGACACCATACCACCCAACTGGAAACGGACAGGCCGAGTCAACAAATAAAACTATCATTCAGAACTTGAAGAAAAGGTTAGATGATGCAAAGGGAAAGTGGCGAGAAGTTTTACCCGAGGTCTTTTGGGCATACCGGACAACATCGAAGTCTAGCACGAGGGCCACCCCATTTTCTCTAGTATATGGTTCTGAGGCCCTTATACCATTGAGATTGGGGAACCCAAAACCAGATTTCGGCATGCATCAGAGGAGTCAAACCATGAGTTCATGAATGCTAGCCTCGAATTGTTAGATGAAAAGTGAGAAGCGACACTTGTTCGGATGGCCGCGCAGAAGCAAAGGATCGAAAGATACTACAATAGAAGAACCAACCTTCAACATTTTGGGATCGGGGACTTAGTCTTATGGAAAGTCACCCTCAATACTCGAGACCCAAATGAAGGGAAACTAGGCCCGAATTGGGAAGGACCGTACCGAGTCCTCGGAGTTGTCGGTAAAGGATCTTACAAACTTAGCACAGTGGAAGGTCAACAACTGCCAAACAATTGGAACATATCATTGCTCAAACGATACTACTGCTAAGGTACGACTCTATCCTTTTTGTTCATTTGAGTTTAAAACTAACTCATTACATATTTTGGATCGAAGGCATAGGGTCTCGAAGGCAACTTTTTTTACATGAGGGCCTTAGGTTTTAAAGCATGCGTTGCACTCTTTTTTCCTTATATCGGATTTTGTCCCAAATAGGACTACTGGCAAGGTTTTTAACGAGCCAACAATTATATGATACCTAAGGAGAACTCAACAGTATCCAAGGCTTCTTTTCAATCAACCTCGAATACTGGGGGGCATCACCCTTGGAGATTATATTTTCAAGGAAATACTTTCTGCCTAAGAGGGCTTCGATAGGAAAACTTTGTAATGGGCCAAACAGTCAGATGAACCGTGTCTATATAGAATAGTCAAGCACTAACGGCAAAGCATGTACACATGTATCAATTATTTGAAGAAGCATTTTGTTAATATCAAAAACACTTTGTGTCTCAAAGAAGTATGTTAGAGACTGTGCATCCACCAGACTATATAGAGAACCAGGTTCTCTATGTGTTTCCTCTGAAAGTACTGATGAACCAAACTGTGTAGGGATCTGGTCCTATATCAGTTTGGTATAGTGCTAAGTTTGTGTGAGTCCACCAAAATAGCAGAGTACCTGGTCCTTTATTGGATTCTGCAGTGAATGCTAGTAAAGCTGAATGTAAATAAGGCCATGGATTTTTACGTAGAAAAATCCCACACAAGGGGATCAAAAAATCACGACCTACACCTGTAGGTTTTTAACTTCACTAACTTCAATCTCCTTATTACAAGCTACTTTATAATAACCCTATTGAAAAGACTTCAACTAACTTGTGATGCTCTCATCACAAGCCACACTATAACTATCCTAGTTACAAAGAATTTGACTAACTTGTGGTATTTCAACTACAAGCCACTTTGTCACACTATGGTTACAAAGGCTTTTGACTAACTTGTGATGTTTCCACCATAAGCAACTTTGTCACACTACGATCATAAAGGCTTTTGCTTATGACTAACCTAGCCACAACATAAACTCAGAGAGTTTATGGATTTTGGTTTGTTCCTAAGAAAACGCTTCTAAGAAATCAAACTAGGAATTACAATGAAGAACACATAACAAAGACTCAACAACCTAAAGACTTAAGATGTCTTCAATCTTGGATCAGGTCCTTGAGGTTGCAGCAGCTTTGTTCTTGAGAGAGGTTCTTGAGCACTTGAGAGAATTTTGTTTTCTGTATTTTGCAAGTGTTAGAACCTGAAACTTGTGCCTTGTATAAGGTTTATACTACACAAGACATCCTTAGTGATGTCCAATCTCAATGGAAAGTGATTGCTGCACTGTCTGTTGCACTGTTGTAGTTAGTCACTTTCTACAATTGCTTTCCAACTGTAGTTAACTTGTACTTCTGTCAGAGAACCCTAAGGGACAAGGTCCGTATTGTGTTCCTCTTTGTACAGTTGTGATCAGTCACTTAGTTGCGTTCCATCTGTATAGTTGACTTGGACTTCTGTCAGAAAAGTACCAAGGGATCAAGTTCCTGATCTGGTTCTTGTGCATACCGCCCATTTATATTGAGTTAAGTAACTTGAATGATGCTTTGTATAGACTCATTGTAGGTACACCTTGAGAATGATCACTTGAAGTGATGTGAGCACTTGAGTTGGTCAGAGAATAAATGGGCACTGGAAATAGTGCAATGCGGCATAATCGTCGTTTCCAACTATGCCCAATTGACTTTGCACTGCCGTGAGGAACCCACAAGAGTATCAGGTCCTTGTCTAGGTTCCTACCTCCTGAAGTTGTAGCAAGTTCACATTTGGCTGGAATCCGTTAGATGTAGTGTAATCTAAGTGAGTCAGGTTCCCTATCTGGTTCTTGACATTAAGTTTGTTAGATCATCAAAACACAAGGCAAAGATATTGAAAACCTATCAATCCTATCAATTTCCCCCTTTTTGATGATGACAAACTTAACATTGAAAGTAAGGAGTTAGAGTTCAGAGAACCAGATTGAATATCAGGAGACCACAGGTTCCCCCCTGACTTTATGCCCTTACTTACACATGTTTCCCATATGTTTCCCCTGACACTTTACTATCGTTCTTGGTCATTTATCTGGTTCCATACAGAAAGTTTGTTAGATTATCAAAACATAGATTAAAAGACCTTAAGCCCATCAATTTCCCCCTTTTTGATGATGACAAACTTTGAACATTGATGACTATTTGTCTTAACCAGATAAGGTACCAGCAACTGCACCAACAATTGCATATGTTCCCCCTGACTCTATTCTTCCCCTTGACATATGTCTGCATATGTTCCCTCTATTCTATTCTTCCCCCTTTTGGCATCAATAAAAAGACACAGTCAGACAAAAAGGCATAAAGAAGTCCAACAAAGCTAACTCATGCCATATATGTGCACACAATCATGATAGAAAAGAGAAGCAAAAGGGAAAACAAGCATTTTATAAGCAAAAGAAGAGCTGTTTTACTGATAAGAAAGTTTACTGTTTCAACAGGAGCAACAACGGTGAAACCCAACATGACATCACAAAAAGACAAACAAAAAAAGAAAAACAACAGCCACAAAATCATCAGAGCAAAAGATAACTGGCCACTGAGAGGATCCTAGGGGGAACTAGAAGAGGGAGGCTTGGAAGAGGAGGCAAAAATGGTTTTGAGAGCTAGGTCCATGCGGGTAGTTGCAAATAACTTCTAGTCAAGCAATTTCTCCCGCAGGTTCTCCACTAGTTGCCTAAGTCCAGAACTTGTCTCATACCTGCCATCTCCTAAATTGCCAGGCAAGCGTGCGACCTCACAAGACTTTTTCTGAGTTAACTCTTCTGCCCAAGGCCACTGTCACTTAGAATGGTCTTCATTGAACCATGTCCTCCCACAGCTTCCTACTTTTTTTTGGATATTTCAATAACCTTCCCAATCCTATTTGCAACAGCTACAATGTCACCCTCAAACAAATCTTTCTCAGCCACAACCTTTTGTATATCTTTTCACTAAGGAACTAGGTTCCTCCACAACATCTTTATCATCATCAACCACTGGAATATGTTTATTAGCCACAACTTCCCGTTATTTCATCAACCCTTTTTTCTATTAATACATCTGCTTACTCTTCTGCAAGGCAAACTCAAAAGCCTCTTTCTTCTACAACCACCTAGTTTGTTTCAGCTAAAAGAGAATCAAGTTCTTCAACAGGTTCTTCTATGACGGTGTCATGGACCGTATACTCAAAAAGCACCAGAGTTTCATCCCCTATGAATGGAGTTTCTTCCCCCTAAGATTCAGGAACAGGGGAGAAGTAGGGTTTGCAACACATGGAAGTGAGACTGGAGATGAGGTGACTGAAGATGTGGAGGAAACCGGTATAAGTACAGTAATATCAGGAATAGTAAAGAAGTGGGTTTCCGGTGATGGTGTTAAGGGAGGAGGAGATGTGGGAGTGATGTTGATGGCAAGAGAAAAAGGTGATTATTTGTTGGCTATGGTGAGAGAAGTGGTAGAGAGTTCTGAAGGAAAAATTAAAGTGATGCAAAGGGAGACAATGGTTTAGAACTGCTGGTCTAAAAAATCGGATGATGTGGTAGTTGAATTAATTTTGCTATCCTTTTTCTTTGAACATGCATGCAAAAAACACATTACTACTAACCTGTGGTGCAGGAACCAGGTTCCTGACCTGTTTTTGTAAAAGGGTTATTGCAGCTCTCCTCCGAAGTTCAACACTGTACCTTTAGCTTCTATGATCATCATGCGTGTTTACCTGTATCAGTATAGATGTGAGTTAGGCCTAATCAGAAAACACTTTAGCCAATTTTACCTTAGTGTGACTATCATAGTCATGTCAGCAGAAACAGGTTCTCGATTAGGTTCAGGTAATCCCCATGCCATCTTGTTTCTCAAAGTGTTCCCTGCTCAGAACTTTGTGAAGATATTTGCAATCTGATCTTCCTGCAACAAAAACTTATACAAATAAGACCCTTTTCCACATAGTCGCTTGATCCACAGTGAATGAGCACATCACTTGGCAGCTGCAACATATTCTACTTCAACTGTTGAGAAAGATACAGAGTTTTGTTTCCTTATACCCCATAAGATAAAGCATGATCGAAGGGAATGAGCCATTCCAGATGTGCTTTTCCTATCCTCCAGATAACCTGCATAATTAGCGTTAACATAACTAATAAGGTTGAAACTGTCCCCTGAAGGATAGTACAAAGCTAGGTTTTGTATGCCCAAATATCTCAGAATTTTCTTAGCAGCCTTCATATGAGATTCCTCAGGATTTGATTGGAACCTTGCACGTAATACCACACTGAATACAATGTCTAGCTTGCTGGAAGTAAGGTAGAGTAGAGATCCAATGATTCCCATGCTCCTATGTCAAACCTTTTCAAGAGTTCTTTGATGCATTTCTGACTGATATACGTTCCCTTTATGGACTGCTTCTCTTGAAGACCCAGGAAGACATTCAGTTCCACCATCGCACTCTTTTCAAACTTACTTCCCATGAGGTTAGCAAATTTTTCACATAATGATTTAGCTGTAGCTCCAAATATGATGTCATCCACATAAATCTGATCAATGAGCAGGTTCCTTCCCCGTTTCTTCAACGACAATGTATTGTCAATCTCTCCTCTTGTGAAGTAAAGGAAATGTGGATCCTAATAGCTTCCATGCGAGCTACTAGGCAAAAAGTCTCATCATAATTGATCTCTTCCTCTTGATTGAATCCTTGGACAGCAAGCCTTGCTTTGTTCCTTGTAGCATTTCCATGTTCATGCAGCTCATTCCTAAATACCTACCTGGTCCCTGTGATGGTTCTGTCTGAGGGTCTAGGTACCAGGTGCCATACCTTGTTTCTTTCAAGTTGATGCAGTTCCTCTTGCATTTCAGTAATCTAGTCTGCATCCTACAAGATTTTCTTGATATTTTTGGGTTTATTTGGGATAGAAATGCTGAGAAGGTTAGGGGTAGTAATGGAAGTACCAGGTTCCTCTTGAGAAATAGAAGAGGATGTTGCATTATCTCTCACCTATCTCCTTCATCTTACTCATCAAATCAACCTTCCCATTTGAAACTCCAGATATTTCCCAGGGACCAAAAGTGGTTCATTATCTTAATCATCACTGTTTCCTCCTTTTTAGAGAAAGATGTCTCGTTGAATAGCATATGAACACTTCCTTACACACAGTGTGCCATTTTGTTGTGGACATTATGGGCTTTGCTTTGAGGGGAGTATCCCAGAAGGATTCCTTCATCGCTTTTTGCATCACACTTCCCAAGTTGGTCCTTCCTGTTGTTGAGAACATAACATTTTCATCCAAAGGTTCTCAGATGAGTTATCTTTGGTTTTCTTTCATTGAGAAACTCATAGGGAGTTTTGTTCAGGAGAGGTCTGATCATGCACCTCTTTTCACTCCTGCTCAGTATTCCCATAGGAATTGTATGCTCCGTGTTCTTTGAATTTTGAGTTTGACAGACCATGGACCAGGTCCTTCTTCATCTATATATCCAGAAGTGAGAAACTTGTATCCCCCAATCCTTTATGCCATGTCTTTGAATCATCATCAACTGCATTCAAGTAGCTCATATCACCAGCTTAGACACGAACTTCTACCTTGTTTTCTTCCCCATACCTAGAATGTACCCCTTCTTTCCATTTTCCAAAGGGTACATCCCTTCCTTGTAGGGATTTCAGTGAGAGAAAATCCATGATATTTCCAGTCATGTGCTTTGAGCATCTACTGTCCATGATCCATTGCAGTCCGCTTCCTCCCACTGTTCCCTGCACATCTAAATTATGGGTTAGATTTAGGAATTCAAACTAGTTTGAGTCCCTTGTTATGGTAGAAGGGATGGATAAGGGCTTTTCTAGTCCATGTAGGCAACATTGGTTTCTTGCGAGTGGTACTTGGTCCCCTATTAGTAGTCACTTTGTCTTTCTGAACAGATTGAGCCCTGGCCTGACAATTTTCTTTGAAGTGCCCATTGTTCCCACTGTGGGTACACTGCCAATTATCAGGAACCGTGATGTACTTGCTGTGAGGGTTGTAAGGAGTTTTCTGCTTTTGGAACCCGATTCCCTACCTGTTTCCACTATTTTTGAAGTACATGGCAGTGACAACATCTAAGGACTAGGTCCACTTGAGAGATTTCTCAAGGTCACTTTTTACTCTCTTCAATTTATCTTGAAGCTGCTTATTTTTCTTGAGTTTACCATATATCCTAGTTCTAGCAGCTTTCAACTCATTTTCAAGCCTAATGTGTTCCTCACTGGCTCTCTCCTTTTCTTTTCCAGGATTTTCAGGTTTTGACTTAATCTCAGGTTTCACTGTTGATTTCCTTAGGTCTGTAATTTCTGCCAAAAGATCATTCCTTTCTTTTCTGAAAGTTTCAATGGTTCTCTTATGGTCAGTAACTACAACTGCTAAGTCGTCTCTAGTTTGTTCAGATTCTGCTAATTCTAAGGTCAAAGAATCCCTATCCTCCATAAAACTATGAAATGCATTAATTAATACATTAGCTAAAGACATGAGTTTTCTTGGAGAATAGGATTTCAGATTTCTCTGAACATCTCTGAAAGTTACCTCTTTGTTGTCTTCGTCTTCATCATCATCTGGTTGTGCCATCAACGCAAAGGTTGAGTCATATTCAACTGGTCTTTTCACTTAAAGTTCTTGGAGAATTCTTGCTTCAAGAGAGGACAAGTTTTCATGAAGTGTCCAGTTTTTCCGCACTTGTAACAAAGATCATTGTTCTTTGATCTGTTAGAGCTGTCCCTTTCTAGCACTTCTCCATTTCTTCTGACCATCTTCTGAAACCTTTTGGTTAAGTAAGCTATGTAACTATCTTCCTCACTCAAATCATTGTTAGCAGCTTTAAGTACCCAGCACTTTTCCTTCTTTGGTTTTCTCCTTTCAAGAGTTGGTGGAGCAGCCATGAGGATCCTTCCGAGGTGTTAGCCTGATAGGAAGAACCTGCTCTGATACCACTTGTTAAAGACTATGCGTCCACCAGACTGTATAGAGAACCGAGTTCTCTATGTGTTTCCTCTGAAAGTACTGATGAACCAAACTGTATAGGGATCTGGTCCTATATCAATTTGGTATAGTGCTAAGTTTGTATGAGTCCACCAAAAAAGCAGAGTACCTGGTCATTTATCGGGTTCTGCAGTGAATGCTAGTAAAGTTGAATGTAAATAAGGCCGTGGATTTTTACATGGAAAAATCCTACATAAGAGGATCAAAAAACCATGACCTATATATGTAGACTTTTAACTTCACTAACTTGCAATTTCCCTATTACAAGCTACTTTATAATAACCTTATTGCAAAGACTTCAACTAACTTATGATGCTCTCATCACAAGCCACTCTATAACTATCCTAGTTGCAAAGAATTTGACTAATTTGTGGTATTTCAACCACAAGCCACTTTGTCACACTACGGTTACAAAGGCTTTTGACTAACTTGTGATGTTTCCACCACAAGCCACTTTGTCACACTACGATCACAAAGGCGTTTGCTTATGACTAACACTAGACACAACATAAACTCAGGGAGTTTACGGATTTTGGTTTGTTCCTAAGACAACGCTTATAAGAATGTAAACTAAGAATTATAATGAAGAACACATAGCAAAGACTCAACAACCTAAGGACTTCAGATATCTTCAATCTTGGATCAGGTCCTTGAGGTTGCAACAACTTTGTTCTTGAGAGAGGTTCTTGAGCACTTGAGAGAATTTTGTTTTCTATATTTTGCAAGTGTTAGAACCTGAAACTTGTGCCTTGCATAAGGTTTATACTACACAAGACATCCTTAGTGATGTCCAATCTCAATGGGAAGTGATTGCTGCACTGTCTGTTACACTGTTGTAGTCAGTCACTTTCTGCAATTGCTTTCCAGCTGTAGTTGACTTGTACTTCTGTCAGAGAACCCTAGGGGACCAGGTCCCTATTGTGTTTCTCTTTGTACAGCTGCGATCAGTCACTGAGTTGCGTTCTAGCTATATAGTTGACTTGGACTTCTGTTAGAGAAGTACCAAGGGATCAGGTTCCTGATCTAGTTCTTGTGCACACCGCCTAGATTGTCTTGAGTTGAATAAGTTGAATGATGCTTTGTATTGACTCATTGTAGGTACACCTTGAGAATGATCACTTGAAGTGATGTGAGCACTTGAGTTGGTCAGAGAATGAGTTGGCGTTGGAAACAATGCAGTGCAGCATAATCTTCGTTTCCAGCTGTGTCCAATTGACTTTGTACTACCGTGAGGAACCCACAAGAGTATCAAGTCCTTGTCTGGGTTCCTACCTCCTGAAGCTGTAGCAAGTTCACATTTGGCTGGAATCCGTTAGATGCAGTGTAATTTAAGTGAGTCAGGTTCCCTATCTGGTTCTTGACATTAAGTTTGTTAGATCATCAAAAAATAAGGCAAAGATATTGAAAACCTATCAATCCTATCAATTTTCCCCTTTTTAATGATGACAAACTTAGCATTGAAAACAAGGAGTTAGAGTTCAGAGAACCAGATTGAATATTAGGAGACCACATGTTCCCCTTGACTTTATGCCCTTACTTACATATGTTTCCCATATGTTCCCCCTGACACTTTACTATCATTCTTGGTCTTTTATCTGGTTCCATACAGAAAGTTTGTTAGATCATCAAAACATAGATTAAAAGACCTTAAGCACATCAAAGTATACTATTGTACGAGCTCTACTCTCATAATCCTTTGAGAAACGTCCCAAGTGTCAAAGAATAAAAGCAACCCTGAATAATCGGGGGACCATCATCGACAGTCGGTATATATGAATCATCAAAAAACTCGGACTTATAAGACCTCAAAAGGGCACCCCCTTGAAACAAAGGCCAAGGCCAATATACTCGGGGACTAACTTTTCAGGCAAGTTCGAAAAGTTATTGGGAAACAAGTCCAAGTGACATACCTGAAGGCTATGGCTATACTAAAGACTACAGTCATATAAAGGCTATGACCAAGATAATACGGCTCGGAGACGTCCGACTGCAGCTATAAATAAAAGGCCTTCTGTTAGTTTATATGAGTCCACCAAACTACAGAGTACCTGGTTCTCTATGAGTTTCCATTGAGAATACTAATGAAACAGTAAGTAAAAGAGACACATGATTTTTACGTGGAAAAATCCCACTCAAGGGGACAAAAACCACGACCTACACTTGTAGGCTTTCAACTTCATTAACTTGTAATCACACTATTACAAGCCACTTTTAAATGACTCTATTACAAAGACTTCAACTCAACTAACTCGTGATACACTTACCACAAGCCACTTTGTCACTCACTAATTACAAAGACTTTAACTTATGACTAAATCTAGTCACAACATAAACTTAGAAGGTTTATGATTTTTGAGTTTCCTAAAACACAGCTTCCAAGAAAGCAAGATAGGAGTTACAATGAAGAACAAATAACAAGATTCCAACTCAACTACGGATACACATAGACTCATTGTGAAACTGATCCTTTAATGGAGTTGTATTCTTGTTCTTGACACACTTGTGACTTCAATGCTGGATCAACACTTTAATGCTCGAGTAAATATCACTAAATGCTCAAGTAAATATCGTGTGCCTTGCACCATGTTGTTATACTACCAAAGACACCACAAGGATGATGTCAATTCTTGGTACACGCCTCTTCCCAATGGGAAGTGACTGCTGCACTGTCACATGTACAGTTGCAGGTAGTCACTTTCTGCAGTTGCTTTCCAGCTGTATAGTTGACTTGTACTTCTGTCAGAGAACACAAAGGGATCACGTCTCTGTCGTGTTCCTCTTTGTAGCAGTTCATTAGTTGGAGTTCAGACTGAACTTCGTTCATTTGAAATGTGTGCCAAGTGAGTAA